GATGCAGGCTTCTGATTTTGTGAAGGATTTTTGGATGGCAAACAGAAAGTTGGGATTACAAGAAGATAAGCACCAAATAAAAGTCAAACCTCCTAGGAATCAACGCTGGTCTCGCCCAGAAGGTAACTTTCTTAAATTCAATACAGACTGTGCGATAGATAACGAATCTGGGAAAGCCGTTGTTGCCTTTATACTAAGAGACTCTAATGGATGGATTCTCGATGGAGGGACTAGAGTCATATGCTCGGAATCAGTTATGGTGGCTAAACTCATTGCTTTGATGGATGCCTTTAATTACTCTATTGAAAACCAATTGGACGATGTTATTTTTGAATCAAATAGCAAAGTGCTGATTGATTGCCTTAATAGTAGAACTCCCCCTGATTGAGGTGCTTTTCTCTCTTTGAGAATGCCTTATTCTCAAGGGAACTTATAAGGAATCATTCTTGTATTTGGATTCCCAAGGAAGTGAATATGGCAGTGGATTGGGCGGCCAAAGCTTCATTGAAGGGGCCGTGTCTGCATGGCTGGATTTGGAGACCTCCTTCTGCGCTAAGGACTATTTTGGAGAATGATGCTCATGATTCGATAACTGGAGTTGCATAGCTGTTTTGTGTTTGATGACTTTGTTACCTAGTACTCTTGTGTCTAGCTGAGTTGGTTAATACTTTTTGTTGGCAAAAAAAAAGAAGTGGAGGGGCCATTTTAATTACTGATAGACACATTTGGACCGCATTATGAGAGAGACTTCATTCTAACAGGACCAATTCAAAGTGCATAATCTCAGTAGGCCACGATATGAAGAATAAACTACTGCATTTTTTTTTAACCTTTTTTTTTTGGAGCCTGAGATTAGAAACTACTGTTGAAAATGCAATTTAATGGCTAATATATCATATCTGTAACTTTATTTGTTAAGTCTTTAATACTTACTTTACATAAACTAGGAAAGTGTATCTAATTTTAATCTTCATGATATTAACTTTCACTGCCAAAATATTGACTTTTAATCACAATTCTAAAAAGTTGTTGAAACTTGACTTTTAGCAGCGACAATTTAAGTTGTTACTAAAAGTATGACTTTTTCTAATGACAATTGAAATCAAAGCTAAATGGGTAAGTTTCAGCCGCAACTTTAGTTGTCGTCACTGAAAATCACACTTTTAAATCGCCGCTAAAAGTGTGAATTTTGAAAACTATTTTTTTCTCACTAACAAATATTATCTCAGGTCCTTAATATAAGAACTCGTTTGATTTTTATTTTAGTCCTAAATATAAGACTCCAATCCCTTTTGTCTCTCACATTTATGTAATTTTTTTAAGATAGTCCTTCTAATAATTGTAGTTTTAGCCAACACACCTTATTAGCAAGAATATTTTAAGAAAAACAACACCTATTTATTATAAATAACTAACTTAATTTATTTCCTTAATCTCCTGAAATTAGTTAACTAGCTCTTATAATTAGGACTGGAGGTAGTATAATTTTTTATTTAAATATAATATTAATTAATATCTCAAAATACTAATTAATTCCATTTTCATAGGATTTATGTTTAAATCAATACTTTAATTATGAATGTATTATACATTTACAATTATATACTATATACTCCTCTGGTCCTTAATATAAGACCTAATTTGAGAGTTGATATTACTCTTATATGTAATACCTATTTCATATGTTTATCAATTTTTTTTCCAATTAACCCTATTGATATTTTCTCAACGATGATCAAGTAGGAGAGGGAGGTAGAAAATTTAGAAACATGCTTGGTTATTTTAGGAAAAAAATATCATATTAACTAATTTAACTAATATCCTTAATTTATTCAAATTAATTAATTAAGTTTACATTAAGGAATGAAAGAGTATGTATATAAATGCTTTTATTGTTTTAGCGTCTACTTAAAAACAATTGTACATTCTACTAATTTGATAGATAAAGTTTAATATGTTGTATGTATTTGTCTATATAAAATATAATTGACAAAATGAATTTCAACAATTTACAAATAGTCAAAACAAAATGACTTTCAGCAGCAACTTTTTAAAATTGTTGTTTAAAGTTTGAGTTTCAAAAGTGTTATTTTTTACAACTATTTTTTCTCACCAAAAAATGCAATTTTTTTGTTTAAATATAGAGTAATATTTAACATCTCAAAACATTAAAAGTATCATTTTTTGATGAAAAAAATAAAGAAAGAATCCCACAAAAAGACGCTTGAAATTACTAAATCTTAAATCAGGTTTGCTAACACTACTTTGTTTGGTTTTAACAACACTGAATTTGTAAATGACAATAAATTTTTAATGAATTCCTTTATTTGACATTTAGTAATTTTAAACTTCTTTTTATGGGATTCTCACAAAAATAAAACAAGGTAATGATATTCCATTTTCATAATGTAAATTTATAATTTAAAATTTAAAATAATAAAAACTGATAACATAATGTAAAATTTTTTTGAATAAATTTTTTTAAAATTAAATAATTAAATAAAAGAAAAATAAATTATTGCATCCATTTTTTCCAAAAAGAATATTCTAAACATTATATCAATATATAAATTAATATATGTGTGTGTGTTAACGTAAAAGACGCTGGGGTGGGAATACACACACACACACATATATATATGTAATGAGTTTTCAATACTATCTTGAACTGTAAATATAAATAATATAATTTTGCTGGTAAAAAAATATAAATAATATAACTTAATCTATAATTTTTTTTCATAAAATTATATCACCATTAATAAGCATAATTTTAAAAAAATTGTGAATAAACTCTTTAAAATTATATAATTAATTTAAAATAAAAATAAATTTCAAAGTAAGGAAAAATAGTACACGTCATATAATCTATGATATTATAAATATTAATCTGTCAAAAAATTTATTAATATATTAAATAGATATTATTAATCAATAAAATAACATTAAAATATATTAAATAAATAATCTTAATCTAATTACATTCATATTTTAATTTACTCAAAAATAATATTATAAATATAATATGAATATATATTAATATCCTATTTTATATTTTAATACACACATATTATAATATATACGTATACATTATATATTTATATATTAAAATTATATGTATTTAATATTTATATACATGTATATAAATATTATACTATAAATAATATACACACATGTGTGCAATATTTAATGATACATATATTTAATTTCATCCCTCAAAATTGCAAAGTCATTCTAGCTTAGATGGCAAAGCATGTCACACAACAAGAAGGAGGTCCAGGAATTAAGTCTTGGGCAAGGCATTGTGAGGGAAAAAATATTGGATTGGTGATGCAGCACAATGAGGTGATGACTTTTTGTTATCATTGAAAGTCAATTTTTTTATAATATTTATAACAACATATTATAAGATATATTAAGGTATATTGAATCAGTAAATTAAAATTTCATTTTTTTTAAAACAACTCTTAACTTTTATAAAAACGATAGTTTTAAAAATATTTTGGTTATAACAAAAATGATAATTATTATTTTTTGCATTATATATATATATCAGTTTATCTAATTAAATTGTTTGTAAGATAAAAAATAGATAGTTGTAGAAGTTGAATACTTGTATGAATGATAAATTGTTTCAAATAAAAGCTGTTGTAAATGACATTAATAAAGTCGTGAAACTCAGTGAAGAGGTTGTCAATGCCATTAATAGTATAGTAAATGATTTTTAGTAGCACCCTTTACTTTGATATTTTTTCAAGTGTTGAAATTATTAAAAAAATTGATGTAAATAACGTTAATGAAATGATTAAACTTGGTAAAAGTGTTGTCAATGCTATTAATAATATAGTAAATAATTTTTAATAGGGCCTTTTACTTTTTTTTTCGGTTTACAATAAGGCCTTTTACTTTGATTCTTTGAAAGTATTGAAATTTAAAAAACAAAGTAGTCAAGCCCGATAAAAATGTTGTTAATGTCGTTAACAGTGTAGTAAATGATTTCTTGTAATGCACCATTTATTTTCCATGCTATTTCCCTAATAGATTTATGCGATATATCATAATGAGTAAGCCCCTAATTCAAAAATGTATTAAATAATAACAATCTAACTCGTAGTTTTTGGGATTCAAATTACCAGTAAAGTCACGGGAGAGTTTGGATTTTGACAATGCAAGCCTGATAGTTTGATGGAAATGCAGTAAGTGCTCAAACATTTTCGACTAATCTGTAAACGGAGACCACTCTTGCTTGTGTGAATTTGGGAACGTCAATAGTTAGCTTAGCTTGTAGAAGCTTTTTCTTCCTTTCTTTCTTTTTTCTTGGCCTTTGATCGATGCATATATTGCAGCCTTGTATTTTACCTTATATTCTAATTGATATACCAAATGTAAGTAGTGTTGTTTGATCTGACCAGTACAGGGAAAATTATAACTGCGTCTCTGTGTCATTTACCAGAAGGGGAAAAAGTTCATATTCAATTTGATGACAAGTTTAAATGCTTTCATTATTGGGATATACATATGTTTTTGCAAACTGTTAAGTCCTACTTCACTTTACACAGCTTGCCCTGTACATTGAATTCATCCTCTAACTCTCCAAATTTCTAATTTACATTATGTTTGATGGCTGTTATGCTCGTCTTATTCATAGGTTGAGGCATCAAAAGATGAGTGTCATTCAATAATCATCACTAGCTTGCGGATCTGGGATGCTATATCTTGAGATCACTCAAATATATTTACGGTGTGTTCGAAAAAAGTAAGTTCTCTACTCCAAGAATACAAAATTGTTAAACAAATAAATTCTAAGTGACACAAGCATAAATTAATTACACAATATTTAATTATTATCTTGAGATGATTCTTATTCAAATTGTGAAACATCCTTACAATACAACACAAGTAGAGTAGGAAAATGCATGAAGTATTAAGACGATGCATCACATATCACATAGTAATACTAGGATTTTGATTGAGATCTCCAACATAACTTATATGAATCTATGGAATGGAACTAGAAATATGTTATTTTGGCATGGCAAGCTCCTTACATACTTGCTCCATGGTTGGGCGAGCACGTGGATTTTCATTCAAGCAAGTAGAAGCTATTCTTGCAATCAACATCACCTTCTCAGCCACTAAGTCTTGAGGATAAGGTAGCCTTTGGTCTAACACTTCGTTCAAATCCAAATCATGAGCAATTATTGTTGGTGCTGCACCAGAAGATGTTGATGAGAAACATGACATTACGAGATCTCTTGGATGCTTTCCCATAATTATTTCTAGAGCCAACACTCCAAAGCTATAAATGTCACATTTCTCAGTCACTTCCATTGTGTAAGCAAGTTCTATAACAAAACCAAAAAGATTATCAAGAAAAAACATTGTGAATGATAAACTTTTCATTGTTAAATAATGGAAACATGAAACATAATGCCATGCAAACTCAAAAGTAATGAAAATCACATAACATAAAACATCCTTAACCTGGAGCAGCATAGCCAAAGGTACCAGCAAATGAGGTCCAATTGTTAGAATCTGGATACAAAAGCTTGGCTGTCCCGAAGTCAGAGATGTGAGCCTCATAATCTGAGTCTAAAATAACATTTTTGCTTGATATGTCACGATGAATTATCGGAGGTGAGCATCCATGATGAAGATAGTATGAAGCATTAGCCACACCTTCAACAACTTTGATTCTTTTGCTCCAATCTAATGTAATTGCTTGTGTCTCTTCTCTTAGGATCTTGTCCAAGCTACCTCCTTCCAAGAATTCATAAACCAAAAAGGAGACCTTTGAATGCCAGCAAAAACCATATAGCCTGATGATATTATGATGCCTAGTTTCTGTTAAGGCTCTAATCTCACTCATAAAAGCTTTCTGATGACACATATCCTTGTCTGGTACTGAATGAAGCTTCTTCACCGCCACAACCTGACCTGTGGATAATTTTGCTTTGTAGACACTTCCAGATACTCCTTCCCCAATGAGATATTTTTCGTTGAACTCCTCTGTGACTTCAATAATGTTTTCATATACTAGTTTCCCATCATAACTCCATATAGCAAACAAATTTTGAGTTTGCGCTTTTGTTTCTTGAACTTTTGTTTTCCTTGCTTTGTGATGGCAAATAATATATGAAATCCCAATGGAAGATGTTGCTAGCATCACAACTCCTAAACTAAAAGATACAACATAGATCAACACTTTCTTGCTCTTGGAATGACTTGAGTCAAAATTTGTTGTTGGGCAAATTGGTAAGCCAAATTGATCACCACATAAGCCTTTGTTGCCTATTAATCTCCCCATCGTAGCTGTACGAAAGGCTAAAATATTTGGAAGTGGACCTTCTAATTGATTGTATGATATGTCAATTATAGCCAAGCTATTCATATCAACAAAAAGTGAAGGAATAGTTCCTGAGAAATTGTTGTGCGAGAGATTCAACATTTCCAATCGATGTAGCTCTCCAAGCATTGTTGGGATTCCCCCAATAAATGAATTTCCACTAAGATCAAGAGACTGAAGTTGTTGTAATTGACCAAAACTAATGGGAATGCTAAAGAACTTGTTTCCACTTATGTTCAATTCCCATAATTTGGTCAACCCTCCTAGTTGTTCTGGAATTGAGCCACTTAAATGATTGTTAGCTAGACTCAACTGTTCAAGGTTAGTCAACAATCCTATATCAATAGGAATGTTTCTTGAAAGTTGATTGTTGCTCAACGTAAGTTCAATCATTAATGATAACTGACTCAATTCCTTTGGAATACTTCCTGTCAAGTGATTCCATGAAAAATCAAGACTCTGTAACTTGGTTGCCTTACCTAGTTCTAATGGTATTCCCCCAAATAAGTTATTATTTGAGATCTTGAGGGTTGCAAGGTTACGGTACTGCCCCCATATAGGTGACAAGTGGCCATAAAATGCATTGTTACTCAAATCAATGTAGTTTAAGTGTGGGCATACACCAAAAGCATTTGTGACATTTCCTATCAATTGATTACTTTCAAACCTAACTCTGATAAGGTTAGAGCAGTTCTTCAAACTTCTAGGAATTGGACCAGTAAAATGATTCCTATGTGCAGTGATGTTAGCAAGTAATCCTCCCACACAGATGTCTTGAGGGAAGTGACCTTTGAAATTATTTTCTCCAATATGCAAGGATCTTAATTTCCTAAAGTTATTCATTTCTGATGGAAGGTTGCCACTAAGTTTATTTCCACACAAATTTAGATAGGTGAGCTCTGTCAAATTTCCAATACTAGAAGGAACAAATCCTAAAAGATTGTTTCGTCCCAATGATAGCATGGAGAGCCTTGTCAAGTTTCCAATGCTAGAAGGAATATATCCAGAAAGGTTATTTTGATAAACAGAGAAGTTGCTTAAATTAGCCAAGTTCCAAATAGAGGGTGGGATTGAACCTGATATATTGTTCTCTAACAAATCCAATGTCTCCATAGAGTAGAGCTTCCCTACTTCCCATGTAATTGGTCCTGAGATTTGATTGGAAAAAAGATAAATATGGTGCAAATTGGTCATATTTCCTATAGTGGCAGGGATGTTGCCAAAGAGATTGTTTCTTGACAAGTCAAGTTCAACTACTTCCTTTAACATTCCAAGTTCATTGGGAATGGAACCAATAAGTTGATTACCTCCAAGTACTAAGAATTGGAGATTGGGGAAAGATGAGAAATTGAGACTATCAAGCGTACCTCTTAATCCAAAATTCGGAAGAGATATACTGGAAATTGAGTTGAGCTCATTGCATGAGATTCCAACCCATTTGCAAGTACAACTGTTATTATCCTTCCATGATGATAACACAGTTTGGCTATAGCTGTCAAGGCTGGCTTTCCACTTTAGCAAAGCATTTGTTTCACTATTTAGTGAAGTCATGAAAGAGGAAACAGGAGATGGTGGGAACAATGTTAAATAGCCAACTAGCAGTATCCACCAAAGTATTAGCTTCTCAGGAAATTGAGGCTTTTTGAAGAGGAATCCCATGGCTGTGAAGGAAATTTCAAACAAAATGAGAATGATGTAGTAAACACAACGGATGTAAGAGATATATATATATAAGCATATGAACTAGCAGTCATTTGTTGACGATGTGAGTTGACATTTCTGATACTTTTATATATGTGTGGGTGTGCTTGTGCGATTGTATACAAATTAGTTGAATGAAGACTTTTCTTGATAGTTATTTAGCTAGTATTAAGGAAATTATATTTTACTTTATCAATTTTATTATTATATAAATTTAATAAATGTTTAAAAATTTATATTTTTAATAAATGTTAGTATGAGACATAAATTCGAAACCCTCAGGAAAATCAATTTCCCTTTTCCATCTCTTGTTACAATCTTATATATAATTTGAAGATGTCATCACTCAATCTTGTGAGAACTATGTGTATCAAGATTAGTATTCCCTCTTCTCCATATTATAAAACGTTTCTAACCAATTTACATGCACAAATAAAAATAATTAAAAGTATTAAATTTGTTATGAAATTTAAGTGATTCCTAATATTACCCTTATTAATTATACTAAGTTCTATCATAATATAAATTTATCCTCTCATTATCTTTATTAAATATGAGCATATATTAGAAAAAATATTTAATGCTCATTGAGAAACTATCAAAACATCTTACAAAATGGAGTATAAATTCCTTCTAAAAGACTTCTTTATGACATGAAACAGAGGGAGTAATTATCAACAATAATACATTTTAATCTGACTAATAATTATCTCCTAAACCAATGGCCACATTATTTAAGAGCTAATCAATGGCTTGGATGCAAGACAAATTATGATGGTTCCGAGTAAAAAGGGCGGTATTGTTGTGTGCAGCTATCCGAAGAAAGCAACAAGAAATAGTCAGACAAGGTGTGCTACTGTGCATTGCAGTCAAGTCAATTGTGGACTTTTCTAATAACTTGCAAGCTAGGCCAACTTAAGAAGAAGAAAGCAGCTTATTAGCGATCATTATCGCTGTGACTTCATTAAAAGGGAACCAAACATCTATGACAGATGCGCGCCATATAATTCAAACAGTGCGAACATCCAATCTGAAACAAGTATCCTATATTGAATCCTATTTTATTATATATCTTTTTCACTTACTCCTCCTTAGTTTTCAATGATTATATCCTTCTTAAATCCTTTTTACCCCTCAGCCATCTAACAACATGAATGAGTAAGATTAACGATTATCCTAAAACAACCGTAATTGACATCACATGCAATTAAAATGCTTCTTATTCTAAAAAAGAGAAACCATATTGAGGTCTTTTCTTCCAATACGCAAGTTGGGCCAAGGAAAAGGATACATTGCAAGATCTACACAGGTCGGTGATCATTTTCCCAATAGACAAAAGTGAAAGACTTTGAAAAGTGGGAGTGCCTGTGACATTTTAATTAGTGACATTTACAGAATATTATCGCTGAGACTTCACTAAAAGGGAACCAAATATCCATGAGGGATGCACACCATATAATTCAAACAGTGCGTACATCAAATCCGAAACAAGTATCCTATATTCATTAATCCTATTCTATTATAAACTATTTTTAATCTTAATTATAAGATCTTGTTTGTAGTCTACAAATAGGAGACCGGAAGTGGTATCTTTTTCTCTTATTCCTTCTTAATTTTCAATGATTAAATCCTTCTTAAATCCTTTTTCCCCTCAGCCATCTAACAACATGAATGAGCAAGGTTAACCATTATCATGAAACAACCATAATTGACATCACATGGAATTAAAATGATTTTTATTCTAATAAAGAGAAACCATAGAACATAGTAAGGCTTGAATAAAAGGTGATGGCTTTTTGTGAATTTGTCTAAAGAATGCAGCAGTAAGAAATGAACAACAATAATGTGCCTAATTGAGGTCTTTTCTTCGAACACGCAAAGTGGGACAAGGAAAAAGATACATTTGCAGCGTTGTCTACAGACAGGTCGGTGACCATTTTCCCAATTGACAAAGTGGAAGACTTTTGAAATATTGAAAAATCAACCGATGTGTTGGAGTAAAGGGGCCATTTTTCATTAAGGGTACATACATTTGAAGAGCATTGTCGCTCGGACTTCACTGAAAGGAAACTTAAATCCCGTTTGATACAAAGTATTAAAATAAGAGATAGGGATTGATATTAGAATTTAAAAAAAAAATCTGCTAAAAAAGAGTTTAATATGAGAGATTACTTATTACATAGAATTAGATAAACCCATGTATCTGAGATTAGGAAATATCACAGGAAGAAGTGATATTTCTCAATCTTACTTTCATAGGTTTTTCTAATCCCATATAACAAATAATTATTTATAATAAATACTCTTTAACGATTTTTCTCAATTGCAATCACAATTCCAATCTCTTATTTTCAATGCTTCCTATTAAGCGGGACCTTAATGTCTACGAGATATTTGCAAATTAAATGGTAATTCAAACAGTACATAAAATCGAAACCAAGTATCTTATGTGAGATATTTTATTACTATTATAATTATTTAGATATTTAATTAGAAAATTAATAAAATATCCTGAGCGTAGCCAGTTATTAAATAAGACTCAAGCCCAATAAGGCAACTAATTTCAATCAATATATTGGAATTTCTCTAAGGGAAAATGACAAAAAAAGACCATCAAAATAGAAAAATTATAAATAGGGACCCATAACTATATTAGTATAGGTTTTGACAACAATAATATGGGTTTTGACAATAATTTTTATGAATGGGTCCTTGTGTGCAATTTTTCTATTTCAGCAGTTTTTTTTTTTTAACAATTTTTCCATAATAGTGAGAAATACAATCAAGTTTTAACAGCTGAAAAATTTGAGTGATACGTCCAATGAGAGGAAAAATCCTATCTGCACATTTGGTTGTCTCCTGACTAGTGACTGACGACTAATTCTAGCTGCCCTGACTTGTGCCAGTCAAAAGATGATTGAATGTTTATTTTCTTCTAACTCTTGTTCTATTTTGTAGTTTTCTATTCTCATATCAAATCCCGAGATCATTTAAATCAAAGCTATGCACGACGTATTTATAAAGTCTTTCGTCGTAGTTTTATAAGAGGATTCATATTTATATTATCTAGATTATTTGTTTGGTTATATGAATCTGTCTTACATCCCATGCGTCGAATCTTGCTTTATTTTCTATCTTTTTCGTCTTATCTTTTTCCTCTTTAATTTTTAATTATTAGATCCATTTTTTCTTAATAATATAAGAATTTGAATGAGTAAGATTAACCAGTGGTCGTAAGACAGCCGCCGGTCTTGACACGCAACTAAAGTGATTCTTCACTTGCATGCGACTAAGGGCCTGTTTGGGTATCCCCAAACCGTGGTTTCAGAAGCACTTTTCCGCAAAACGAGATAATCTCCTCCACATATTTACTTCGTAATCCGTAAAAGCACTTCTGAAACCATGGTTTGGTTTCTATCCAAACACACCCTAAGATGATTTCCTTTTCTTAGAAAGAAGGCATAGAATCGAAGAAGAAAAATCTGCCTTTGAAAGAATGCAACGTGTATCTGATGTCGTATCTCTTTTCCCACCTTTTCTTCCTTTCTTTTCATTCTTTCTTCTCCTTCCCACGTCCTCCTCTCTTTCCTATGTTTCTTCCTTTCTTATCTCTCTTCTTTATTTTCTCTTGCCTAGACGTTGCCATATCCCCAAAAAAGTCTCATTCAAATATTAACGTATATTCTTCCTACTGTATATTGGGGTTATACTCATCTAATATTCAATTGTTGTAGGGAGAAATCCCACTTAAATTTAGTTAAAATATTTAAACCCAAATTTATACTTATATTTTTAATAGATTTTTAACCATGCCAATAAGCCTAACTAAAAAAATTTTAATATTGTTCAAAGACTATAGTGTCCCTAGGTAGTTAAAAAAGAAAATTTAATTGAGATTTTTTCTTTATCTTACCTCAATTTTTTATATACTTTTCAATAACTTAAATATAATATACATTTTGACTAAAATTTCGATTCAGAGTATTTTATAGTTAAAAGTTAAAATTAAATTTAAAATATTGGATAACTTTTCATTTTTATAAAGAATTATATAATCTTAAGAATTAAAAAAATAGTTGTGCAGTTTAAATAAAAAAGATTTACGCCATGCATGTTATCATAATTTAATTTAAATTCTCAGATATAATTATAGACCTGATAAACTCATTATCTTTCACAAGAAAATTTAGAGGTAGAACCTCTGGGAGAGGCTAGGAGTGGACATCAGGTGAGGGAAATAGATAAATTCTTAAAATTCTTCTTCCATTAACTCAGTTGACTTTTTGACTAGTAAGGAGCTTATTGATGGAAAATTGAGAGAAAAAGAGAATAGAAGAAAGTTTATGTCAGTGTAGCTGCTCAAAACATAATTTTTCCACCTTCTATAGAATTCCTTGATGATATCTACGAGAATTGAATCCGGATGGAAATGGAGAAGGCCTAGTTCCTTCCTTCCCACATACTTCATCCTATAGTTTGTTAGGTCTATACTTATCTCAAAATTTAAATTAAATTGTGATAACATGATGTAAATGTTTTTTATTTGAATTGCACAAATATTTTTATCGTTTGAGATTATATAGTTCTTTAACAAAATGAAAAATTATTTCATACTTTAATTTTGATTTTGATTTTTAACTATAAAATACTCTAATCAAAATTTTAGTCTCAAATATATATATGTTAATGAAAATTATATTAAAAAATTGAAGTAAGATTAAAAAAAACTCAATTAAATCTAACTAAAATACCTACCTTCAATTTTACTTTTTAACTATAGAGGGATATTCTAGCCATTTAACAACTTTTAAAAATTCCTAATTAAGTCTCGTGATCTAATTAGGAATTTGTTAAAAGTGTAAGTTTAAGTTTAAATTTTGATATTTTTGCTTGATTTAATTGAGATTCTCCCTACCTTAATCTCTGCAGTAACTAAATAGATACATAAACATATATAT